CAATCTCATCATCAGATTCATGACGACATATTATAAATGAAGGCAACGCAGCACTAATTGAGCACGCGTTGACTAGAAAAACGTAAGATGTGGCTTGCAAGGAATTACCGTAAAAGAAGTAGACGATAAATGAAGTTCTGATGATATAGGCATACGAATGTCTTGACTGAAACCACAGAGATAACTTAGCAGTATGGAAAAAACAGCAAGGGAACTGATAAAGAAGACAAAGATCGAATTGCCTCTAAATATATCAGTTTGAATTTCACGATCAACAATTCGTTCACCGTATTTACACCTTAGTATTATTGCGAAGTGTAAGGCGGCATTAATGACACTGTCTGTTGTTCTTGTTGTTACACAGTGTCCCCCGAAAATGGATCCATTTCACTCCGAAATGTTTGAATTTATTTTAATAAAATTTATATGCGGAGTAAACCCCTTGAATACTATGAAGATCAATAAAAATTTAGGCAGATATAGAAGCATGATAGAGATCAGACATCTCTGCGATTACATATATTATTTTACCAGTAAAATATCACGATTCATGACATTTTTCGTTCGATCTCATTCGTTTACAAAAATTAGTATTGACATGCTTGAAGTTATGCGTGAATTTGTCGCTATTTCATATCACTGATCTGAACCCCACGTTCTTCTACAGTAAAACCCTGGTTCATTCGAAACGCTTTTCGGATTTTCTTTTCAAGTTTATGATAGAGTGACCTAATTTCGTTCAAAAGTGCCTGAATTGCTCAAAAAGTTTGGTAATTTATCATTAAAATTTTAGCTCTGTTTTCATAGCAATTTTACATTTGTTTGTTTATTAATCGAAGCAAAATTTATGCAAAAATAAGGTTAGTATAGATATGCGTCTGTCTATTTTTTCTGCCATGAAAAGCTACCTGGAGTTGGCGAATGATATTTTTATCCTGTCATGTCATCAGAGGAACTCCAGAGAAGAATCCGAGTGCTGAACGACGCTAAAAATGTACGTTAGAAAGACAGATTGTTTTTATCCAAAACGTGACTTGACAATCGTACTGTTGAAGACAACGAACTTAGACTTGAAGAAGTGCGAGATTTGTTTGTCTGGGACAGTTCATCTCTGTAATGGAGAACCGATTATTTGAAGTCAGCAGGAAAATAAAAATGGCATAAATCGCTTTTGGATGACGGAAAGTATTCGTATTCAGAAAACTTCATTTGTTCTTGAAACCGTACGTTTTCCATCTGTATGTGCTCCAAGTGCGGGTCATAAACCCTAATGCTGAAAGCTATTCATTAGCCGTAGATACGCAACGCAGTGTGGAAAGATGTTTGTTGGCAGTAACAAGAAATAACGAATTGATCAATAAGAGACAAATAAGAGTCTGCTATGCCATTACCAGAGTAAAGAAATTAAAACGACAATGGATAGAAGGAGGCATTGCAAGAAGAATCGACCGTCCCTGTCCTAGACAGACATTAGAATGAACTCCATGAAAGGTAACCTGCCTCTCAGAATTCCTGCGTATCTCTGGAACGATGAGCTGAAGAAGTG